TCAATGTTAGGGTGAAGGAAAACGTTATTGTGCGATAGCACTTGTAGATAATTCCCACATCTGTTTTTGTGTGAATTGACCTTAACAGCGCATTGGTTTGGATCCACAAATTGCACTGGGGGTGTGTGTGTGTGTGTGGATTCCAGTTACCTGGGGTGCACTTCTTGCCCCGATGTGCTTTGCCACCCATACCTCACTTCATTCTGGTCTAGAGTGGAGTGGGGGGCTTTCCAGAATAGGGTGGGAGGTGGCACAGGGAGAACTGGTATAAAATGCTTCCCCACCATATGCGACAATAGCCGTTCAGATGCTATTAGCCCAGAGATGGAAAGAAAAAAGTGTTCCCTACCAGAAAGGAACAGCAAACCAAGCTGTTGGACTAATAATAATAATTTATTATTTGTACCCCGCCCATCTGGCTGTGTTTCCCCAGTCACTCTGGGCAGCTTCCAACAAAGATTAAAAATACATTAAAATGTCACTCACTTAAAAACTTCCCTGAACAGGGCTGCCTTCAGATGTCTTCTAAATGTCAGGTAGTTGTTTATTTCCTTGACATCTGATGGGAGGGCGTTCCACAGGGCGGGCGCCACTACCTGAAGACCCTCTGCCTGGTTCCCTGTAGCTTTGCTTCTCTCAGGGAGGGAACTGCCAGAAGGCCCTCGGTGCTGGAACTCAGTGTCCGGGCAGAACGATGGGGATGGAGACGCTCCTTCAGGTATACTGGACCGAGGCCGTTTAGGGCTTTAAAGGTCAACACCAACACTTTGAATTGTGCTCGGAAACGTACTGGGAGCCAACGTAGGTCTTTTAAGACCAGTGTTATGTGGTCTCGGCGGCCGCCCCCAGTCACCAGTCTAGGAGCCGCATTCTGGATTAGTTGTAGTTTCCAGGTCACCTTCAAAGGTAGCCCCATGTAGAGCACATTGTAGTAGTCCAAACGGGAGATGACTATGCCAAAAGGGCAAATCTGACTGGAAAGTTCAGGAACAAAGAAGACAAAAACTTCAAGAAAGAATGGGGAAAATTTGTAAATTATTTAGGAGACCACTGTAAGCAGATGAAAACATTAGCCGGATTCTAAGAATACTTGTAACAAACCCTGTGGGCGATATGGATGGACACAAAATATAGATTATGAAATAATACGCTGCTGAAAATGTTGACAATAGGATCCATGGAGGGGAAAGGTGGGAAGTCTGGAGAGTCAGAGAAATCTCTATACAGTTGTACCTCGGTTTAAGAACAGCCCTGTTTACAAACTATTCGGTATAAGAACTCCGCAAGTCGGTGTTCCGGTTTGCGACGTTTATCTCGGTCTGAGAACGGAAGCTGAACGGTGGAAGGGCACTAACAGCTGGAGGCCTCATTTGGGAAAGCGCATCTTGGTTTAAGAACTGTTTCGGTTCAAGAACGGACTTCCGGAACGGTTTAAGTTCGTAAACCGAGGTATCACTGTATATGGATATGTATTTGGTATTGTTATAACTCTACACTTGTACAATCAAATAAAAATGATTAGAAAGAGGAGGAGGAGGAGGAGAAGAAGAAGAAGAAGAAGAAGAAAATGCCTCCCCACCACTGCCTTTTTGCCATTACGAGCTTTCACTGGATCAGGGGTGCCAACTTGAGTAAAATATTGGGGGGCCCAGGTAAGCCCTGCCTGGCATAATCAATCACGATGCAGTGCACCCCCCCAATTTGAATGGCAATACCCATCAAATTTGGGGTGGCCCAACCCGCTCAAATATTTTATTGAGGAGGCCAAAGGGACCTTGGCCCCTAGGAGTTGGCTCCTATGCAATGGATCGACACACGTCCGTTTTGTTCACGGAAGAGCATCTCTGGGAGCCAGCCGTTACAAGATGCCCTGCATCGAGGGCACCTCTATGTAGGATTTGTTTATTGATTGCGTTCCTGTGCTGTCCCTAGTCTTGGAGGGAGCAAAAGATCAAGACACCCCCCCCAATCGTTGTAGAGGCACTCTGGACTGGCTTGGTTGTCCAGGAACAGATGTGCGGGGGTCTTTCTTGAAAGTTCGTATCATAAGAACTAGTGCACACCTAGGGCCTGCGATCTTTCTTTGCCCTCTTCATGCCAAATGGCTGCTGCTCCACAATTTTGTATTTGTGTGTGTGTGTGTGTGTGTGTGTGTGAATGAGAGTGCATAATCGATACACCCTCCTCCAAGAGGCATCTTGTAACTGGTGTCCTCCTTGTCTGGATTCCCAGAGCAAGACGTCCAGGCTGCTGCCCCAGGTGGACACAGGGTTCCTCTCTCTTCTTCAACGGAAAGATGCAAACACACTGGGCCAAACGTCTTAAAAGCGGTCAGGGCCAGAGTGGAACTGAAAGGGTTTTCAAAGCTGCATTCCCCTGTTTCCATGCCCCAAGCAGGGCGTGCATCTCCCTGATAACAGCATTTATCTCTTCCACCCCGGCTCCTGCTCACACCTCTTGGCGTTTTATCGACAGCCGCAGCTGTAGCTGTGACTTCAGAGGACGTGGATGTTCCCCCTCCGTGCGCTCGATGGGGCCTTGCAGCTGGGCAGCGTCCCCACCCCGGCGGAAGAGGGCACGGGGCCAAGTCTTCAGGTGTATCAGGAAGGAGGGTGAAAACAAAAACAGGTTTTGATAGAGAAACAACAGCCTCACCACCCCCCAAGGCCTGTCGGGCTCCTTGCCAAAGCACCACCCCAGTGAAAACGGTTTTCTTCACACAGCTGGAGGGAGGAAGGCGGTTTGCAGCAGGAATAACACCTGCATCCTTACGGAAAATCTCCAGTTCATCTCTCCCCATACACCTGGCCCTGGTCTGAAGTTGAAAAGGGAAGCAAAATAATTCAGAAGCAGCAATATCCATCACACACATAGGGAAATGGGGTGAATGGGGAGGGGTAGTCGTACTCCTTCCGGGGTAGCTTGTCCACCTTTGGTCCCCATCCTGCACTCGCCTCTCACCTGTGGCTCCTAGAAGTTGTGGCCACATCGGCTCTGACTGGCCGGCAAAACCAGGTGAGGGCAGCCAATGGTTCTCAGTGTTTTTTTTTCTGTGGGTACTCAAGGCTACGCAGTACCAGCACTTTCCCCCTGCCCTCCAAAGTTAAAAATTCGGCACTTACTGTAACAACTTCATGGTGAGTACCAGCAATTTTTTTTTTTTTAAAGCACTGGTCTCAAACCCTTGGTAAATTAGGGACTTCGCCTGCATGCCAAGACAGGATCCGGTGGATTTAGCGGACGAGACCAATAGTGGGTGCAACAGTCAATAAGGTGGTTTCTGCACATTCTGTAGAGGGAAGTGAGGGGCAGGTGGAGCTCATAAACCTGGGAAGGGAGCCATAGCTGTCAACCTTCCCTTTTTTTGAGGGAAATTCCCTTATTCCAGTGCCGTTTCCCACTGTTTTCCCAGATTGTTAGATATCCCGTAGACTGTCCCCGGGACAGGTGAGGCTGCTGATCCCTTATTTTCGAGGCTGCTGATCCCTTATTTTCAAATCTGAAAGTTGACAACTATGAAGGGAGCCCATCTATGAGAAGGAAAGCTCTGCTCCGAAACCTCTGAGGTCTTACAGGATATGTTCAGGAGAAGAAGAAGCCAAGGAGTAAAGGCCGAACAAATCTGGAAGTGGAGTCCTTAAGATGGTTGGATGGTGCCTTGTACGCCTCCTTCCAGTGAAAGGGACACCGATTAGGAGGAAAATGGCACTTGCTAATTTCAGGGACCTGTGTGGTGCTGTGGGTTAAACCACAGAGCCTAGGACTTGCCGATCAGCAGGTCGGCGGTTCGAATCCCCACGACGGGGTGAGCTCCCGTTGCTCGGTCCCTGCTCCTGCCAACCTAGCAGTTCGAAAGCACGTCAAAGTGCAAGTAGATAAGTAGGTACCTCTCTGGCAGGAAGGTAAATGGCGTTTCCGTGCGCTGCTCTGGTTCGCCAGAAGCAGCTTAGTCATGCCGGCCACATGACCTTAGTCACGCCGGCTCCTTTGGCCAATAAAGCAAGATGAGCGCCGCAACCCCAGAGTTGGCCACGGCTGGACCTAATGGTCAGGGGTCCCTTTACCTTTACCTTAATTTCTAGATGCATGCACGTCTAGAAACAGTGACCGGGATTGAAACTGAAGTTCAATGCATCTCACCATTGTGGGGAACAATTGTGTGACTGGGTGACCTACGTGCCGGCTAAGGCAGCAGCAAACTATCGGTGGGTGATTTCAAGGCTCCTCCTGCACTCTCTTAAAGTTTTTATCTGTAAAGTAGGCTATGTACACACTGGTGGCCTAAAATGCAGCGAGGTTGATTCTCCTTGCTGCATTTAAAGTCACATTTGCACACTACAGTGGTACCTCGGGTTACATACGCTTCAGGTTACAGACTCCGCCAACCCAGAAATAGTACCTCGGCTTAAGAACTTTGCTTCAGGATAAGAACAGAAATCGTGCTCCGGCGGTGCAGCGGCAGCAGGAGGCCCCATTAGCTAAAGTGGTGCTTCAGGTTAAGAACAGTTTCAGGTTAAGAATGGACCTCCAGAACGAATTAAGTACTTAACCCGAGGTACCACTGTATTATACATACTGTGTGTGTGTGTGTGTGTGTGTGTGTGTCTCTTTACTTGATGCAATTATCTGTTTGTTTTCCCTAGCCATCCAGGTTTGCACCCCGGTGAGGCCACCTGAGTGCTAATAATGCAGCAAAAACAAAGCGGGAGCAGCCGTTACGAGTTACGGGTCTCTGCAGCCACAGCCGGCGCTGCGATTCTCTGGCAGTCTGACTTCACCCCTGAAGGCACACTCCGTTGTCTCCTGAGACGGGGGGGGGGCGCAGTGGAGCCTTTCAAACACAGCACTGTCCTCTCCAAAGCAGAAACCCCAGGCTACTCGAGCACAGAGGAGGGGCAGAGTTCTGTCCTTCCTCCACCACTGCGTTCACTCGTCTGAGTGCAACGATTTGCTTACGGCTACCAGGCTAGTGCTTAATTGCAAGGGTGTATAATGCCCGAGGAAGGGCTGTAGCCTAGTGGCAGAGCATCTCCCTTGCATGTGGACGGTCATGGGTTCAATCCCTGACTTTTCCAGGTAGGGCTAGGGAATACTCTTGGCCCAAACCCTGGAGTGCCGCTGCCAGCCAGTGTAGACCATGGCTAGATGGAGCAATGGCTTGGCTTGGGATAAGGCATCTCCCCAAGAGCCTGAGAGTGCCAGCAATATGCTAACAGACAGTGCAGGTTTTGCAGGGAAGGCTGAAAGGTTTGTTATGCTGTTGGCCAGGAAGAAGACAAGGGAGCCTTGCAGGCCCATCTGTGACCGCAGGCCAGAGAATAATTGGAGCAGCGAAAGCAGAGAGGCAGGAGTGGTGAGGCTGCAGGGTTGAATTTCATATTAGTTGAATCACAAGCCCTATCTTTGGCTGTGGCTCTAGTGAATATTCATTAAAATTGCCGGGGTGGAGGGGGTGGGGAGCATATTGTGGTTAAATATGGAGGGAATGGCCCCATCCAGACTTGATTCACCTTGTGGATCTGGTGAAAAGAAAGGAACCTTGTGAAAGGCTGGAAGGGGAGAGAGATTCAGGATGGAGAGACGGCTGGTGGACTCCTTATCTCAGGCCCCTATCAGCTATTTCCTCATGTGTTTAATTAAGAGTCCGTCTCCCTCCAAGAGAGCAAGGGCAGATGGGGAAGGTGATTTTTGCAGGAATGCGAAGCCCAGAGGCAGGGCTTGCTGGAAAGACACACAAGCACCTTGGAGCGCATGTTAAAGATTGACTGCTCAAGGTCAGCAGGACAGGACGGAAGGGGAAAACCCTGCTTAGGTGGAAGGAGACCCGGCTCAGAGAGCAGCCCCAGGCTGTCCTGTTTGCAAAGTACGGAGGAAGGGAGGTCAGAACCTCAGGGGAAAACAGGGCTTGGCTAGGAACCTGTTTTCAGTGCAGGGCTTCAGCTGTGGAGTGTGAGGAGAATGTGCCTCTGAACATGCGCATAGTGCAGGCCTTGGCTTCCTGCAGGGCTGAGCATTAGAACTCGCTTTCGATTCAAGAACATAGCACTCGGAAGCTGTAAAATTACTACCGAGTAACCACAATTCCTCCCCATTATATTAAGGTTAAACTTTGGACATCATTTGCGCTATACAGTGGTACCTCTGGTTAAGAACTTAATTCCTTCTGGAGGTCCGTTCTTAACCTGAAACTGTTCTTAACCTGAAGCACCACTTTAGCTAATGGGGCCTCCCGCTGCCGTCGCGCTGCCGGAGCATGATTTCTGTTCTCATCCTGAAGCAAAGTTCTTAACCCGAGGTACTATTTCTGGGTTAGCGGAGTCTGTAACCTGAAGCGTCTGTAACCTGAAGCGTCTTTAACCTGAGGTACCATTGTACAGTTGTACCTTCGATCCCAAACACCTTGCAAGTTGAACGCTTTGGCTCCTGAGCGCCGCAAACCCGGAAGCGAGTGTTCCGATTTGTAAACATTCTTTGGAACCCAAACGTCTGGGGCACAGGTTCCAATTGGCTGCAGGAGCTTCCTGCAGCGAATCGGAAGCCGTGCCTTGGTTTCCAAACGTTTTGGAAGTCGAACGGACTTCCGTAACGGATTCCGTTCGACTTCTGAAGTATGACTGTACATTTAAAGCAGCATCATGCCACATTAAACAGCTCCCCCCCCCCAAAGTCCTGGGAACTGTAGTTTCTTATGGGTCCTGCAGAGAGTTGTCAGGAGACCCCTATTCCCCTTGCAGAGCTACAGTTCTCAAGAATGGTTTAACAGCCCACCGCTCTTCTCAAAGAACTCTGGGAATCGTAGTTCCGTAAAGGGAATAGGGATCTCCTAGCAACTCTCAGCACCCTAACAAACTACAGTTCCCAGGATTCTCTAGGGGAAGCCAAAGCTGTTTGAAGTGGTTCAAGGCAGGCTTGAACCCTATCGCTTAAGAAACAAATCTGTGGAGCACGGGGTGAGGGGAGAGGGCCAAGCTAAGCCAGCGGGGAACGAGAGGAATCCGAATCGGTAGGGAGACTATAGAATCTTTTCTTTATGTCGTTCTGCTATTATTGTGTGGTGCTTTTAAGTTTTGCGGCTTATGTAAGCCACTTCGGAAGAGCAGTGCTCTCAGACAAATGGAACAAGCACTTCCCATTGTATTAGAAGCAGGAACAGGAGCCGGCAACCAAGTGGAGGGCTGGAAGATCTCTCCCACAAAGAAAGGCGTTACAAATGTCTGGGGCTTTTTGGCTTAGAAATAAGGCAAGGAAGGCGAGGAGAGGCAGTACAGGGATAGAAAGTTATGCAGGCTGTGAAGAAAGTGGGTAATACGTACTAGAATCTAGGGTCACTCGATTAAGCTGGATAGTGGGAGCGTCTCTGCAGGGTGGTCTGGAGGAAGAAGAGGAGTTTGGATTTGATATCCTGCTTTATCACCACCCTAAGGAGTCTCAAAGCAGCCAACAAACTCCTTTCCCTTCTTCCCCCACAACAAACACTCTGTGAGGTGAGTGGGGCTGAGAGACTTCAGAGAAGTGTGACTAGCCTAAGGTCACCCAGCAGCTGCATGTGGAGGAGCGGGGAAGCGAACACGGTTCACCAGATTACGAGTCCACTGCTCTTAACCGCTACACCACATAGGCTCTCCTTCACGATGGTTGCCATAACAGTAGCATCTGAACTGAGGTAGATACAAACAATTTCACTCTCAAAAGTGCTTGGCATGTGAAGAGCATTCTGCAGGCCCCCCAAGTGTCCCTATTTTCCAGGGACAGTCCCGGATTTACAGAAGTCATCCCGGTTTCTGATTTGATCCCAGAATGTCCTGCTTTTCCTTAAAGGTAAAGGACCCCTGACAGTTAAGTCCAGTCGTGAATGACTCTGGGGTTGCAGCGCTCATCTCGCTTTACTGGCCGAGGGAGCCAACGTTTGTCCGCAGACAGTTTTTCCGGGTCATGTGGCCAGCATGACTAAGCCACTTCTGGCGAAACCAGAGCAGCGCACGGAAACACCGTTTATAGGTACCGCCGGAGCGGTACCTATTTATCTACTTGCACTTTGACGTGCTTTCGAACTGCTAGGTTGGCAGGAGCTGGGACCGAGCAACAGGAGCTCACCCCATCGCAGGGATTCGAACTGCCGACCTTCTGATCGGCAAGCCCTAGGCTCTGTGGTTTAACCCACAGCGCCACTTGCATCCCCTGTTTTTCCTTAGGATATCCCTATTTTCATCGGAGAAATGTTGGAGGGTACGGAGTTATACGATACCCAAGCCGAGGAGATAAGAACTATAAAACCTTTAGAAGACAACTGAAGGCAGCCCTGTAAAGTTTTTTGACGTTTAATGTTTTATTGTGCTTTTATATACAGTATGTTGGAAGTTACCCAGCGTGGCTGGTGCAACCTAGACGGGTGGGTGGGGTATAAATAATAAAATGATGATGATGGAATGAGACGTCCCTATTTTCATCGGAGAAATGTTGATGGGTATGATCCTGTTCCTTCAGTGAGTGGCCAACCAGATGCCAATGGCAAACCCACAAGCAGGATTCTGGGTGCAAGCAGCCCTCTCCTCACTTGCCATTCGCTGCTGGGAGGCAAAACATGGACCTTGTGGCTAGCAGCCGGCTTTCCCTCATCCTCTGTGAATTTTCCTAATCCTCTTTTAAGGTGGCCGTCACAACCTGTTCTAGTGAGCCACCAAGGATTTGTGTACATACTCGGGTTCACCAAGGCTGGCTTTGAACCCCTCGGAAGAGCTCCGCCAAATTGCACAGTGGTGGAAAAACACAATTTATTTGTTGCCGTCACTGCCATAAAGCAGCAGCTCCTTCCATTCGCCTGGACTTCCGCTGAGCTTTGCACCACTTGCGTTCAAGCCATTTCCCTACCAGCTTCATAGCCTCCAATTTCCTGGTTAGCCCAGTAGCCAAACAAACTCCGCTGGGTGGGAAAAGGGTGCTTGGGAACGATCATATTCTGAATCATCTCTGCGTCAAACACAGCAGCAACTTAATGGGGAGCCATGCTAACTGGAAACCATCAAGGGCTCTGGGAAATTCTTTAAGTCCTTCCAGGTTGAATCCTGACAAGAGAGAAGTACTGGTTTTTTTTGGGGGGGGGACAGGGGGCGGTCAGGTGTGGAGGATTCCCTGGTCCTGAATGGGGTAACTGTGGCCCTGAAGGACCAGGTGCGAAGCCTGGGAGTCATTTTGGACTCACAGCTGTCCATGGAGGCGCAGGTCAATTCTGTGTCCAGGGTAGCTGTCTACCAGCTCCATCTGGTACGCAGGCTGAGACCCTATCTGACCGCAGACTGTCTCGCCAGAGTGGTGCATGCTCTAGTTATCTCTCGCTTGGACTACTGCAATGCGTTCTATGTGGGGCTACCTTTGAAGGTGAGCTGGAGACTGCAACTAATCCAGAATGCGGCAGCTAGACTGGTGACTGGGAGTGGCCGCCGAGACCATATACCACCAGACCTGAAAGACCTACATTGGTTCCCAGTACATTTCTGAGCACAATTCAAAGTGTTGGTGCTGACCTTTAAAGCCCTAAATGTCCTTGGTCCAATATACCTGAAGGAGCGTCTCCATCTCCATCGTTCAGCCCGGACACCGAGGTCCAGCTCCAAGGGCCTTCTGTGAGAAGTGAGGTTACAGGGAACCAGGCAGAGGGCCTTCTCGGTAGTGGCACCCACCCTGTGGAACCCACCAGATGTCAAGGAAATAAACAACTATCTGACTTTTAGAAGACATCCGAAGGCAGCCCTGTTTAGGGAAGTTTTTCATGTTTCGTGTTTTTAGCCAGATGGGCAGGGTCTTAATAATAATAATAATAATAATAATAATAATAATAATAATAATTGTATTATTATTATTATTATTATTATTATTATTCCAGTGGAGGTAAGGCCTGAATAAACTGGAGTTAGGGGAAAGGGAGTCAGAGTGGGTGAGATAAAGGAAGGGGGTGAAAACGAAGAACAGGCAATGAGGCCGTTCTCAAGAGGTCTAGGGTTGAGGCTACTTGAACGCTGGTTCTGAAGACACTTCCCCACAGGTCCCAGAAGGAAGGGAAAGCTGGACCAGGTGGTGAGTAAGGGAGCAAGCCAGTCCCAAAAGCCAGTGGAAAGAGAGGAGAATCTCCCAGCAGCCTGCACAAACCTGGCAAGCAATTCAGTTGGTAAACAATAACGACAGAAGACAGTAACACCAAAGAGAATTATACAAATTATACTAAAGAAAGGAGTTTCACCGGGCTGGAGACAAGGATTGCACATGGAAGAGTTTGTGCGCATAGAATTTCTCAAATAGACGCACAGCAGATATGGCTGGCCAGAGACAGGGCACTGGCTCCCCCTACAGGCCACAGAGTGACCAAGTTCTATTCTCCTGAAGCCCTAACACAAAACGTGAGGGTGTCCATTGGAAACAAAAGGAAGAAAAATAAGAGAGGGCAGAGGAAAAGAAGGCAAGTGACACATAAGCAGCTGACAACTTATACTACGCTTTGGTAAGGGTTAGGGTTGCGGGAATATATTTGGCCTCTCTAGAGCTGCAGGCTGACCATTATATAGCTATAAGGCAAGTTTCAGTGGGCAGCCTTTAACAGCTAAATAAATAGCACACAAGGCAGAGAGTTCAAGGGATGATAAAAAAGAGCATCCTTTCTTATCTCTGCTGCCAGCAGATTCCTAAACAATAGCACAAGGCTCCTGTTTGAGGGTGTCAGAGGCCATGGACAGGATTGTTAGTGGGTGGAAACAGAGAACTTTTGAACATTGCAGTTTTGAACAGTACTGGGAATTCCTTGTCCTACTTATCACAGAAGTGCAATGACCCAAGATATTCCTTTTGTTCAGGAGCTAGGGGTGTTGAAAGATTTGAAACTAGCTTAAAAATAAAAGGTGTAATATAGATACACCCGTTGCAAGCCACTAAGGCTGGGTGATATAGCAATATATCGGCCAAAACCGGTTTGAAGTTCATATCTTGATAGCGGTTGCTGGCCATCATTTTTGCATGTTCTTCTGATCTTTTTTTAAAAATATGTTTTTATTAAAGATTTCTTAGTTTACAAAAATACGTGCATTGTCTCTTTTTTCAAGTTGCGTTTTCTGCAGATCAGTTTCACTTGTTGTGAGAAGTTAGTGTTACATACAGAAGTTCTGATCAAAGATGCTTGTGCTTTTACCCAGGTCTGTGAAAAACATATGAACAGCTGCAAGGATGTTGCTTGCCCAGAGTTGGAAAGACGGTGAGATACCTACGAGAGCAGACTGGCAGATGAAACTATTGGACTATGCAGAGATGGCAAGATTAACTGGGAAAATCAGAAATCAGGCATATCAAAATTTCAATAGAGAATGGGACAAATATAGATTGTATTTGCAAGACCACTGTAAACACTTCAACTTTTTAGGCTTTGGATATAACGGAGGACTGTAATTTGGATGGATTTATAATATGCAGGTGGAAGAGTTTTTTAATGAACCCACGGAGGCGAGAAGGGAAGTGCAAGGATTCCCAAGAATTTTGTGTAAAGTTTTAATATTTGCAAGAATATTTTTCTGTGAATGAAATTGTAAAACCAAGTAAAAATTTATTTTTTTAATGAAAACAAAGAAAAACAAATGAACTCTTTGCTCTCTCATGGCCTTTGGCACCCCAACTATTTTACGACCCTTTCTGTTCTGCATCCACATACAGCGGTTTGCTTGGCAGGCAGGCCTAATGGAAAGACCACAGGAAGCTTCACTGAACAGTAGTAGTGGAGGAGAGTGCCAACTGCTGAAACTGTGAAGGCCCTGTGTCTCTTCTGCAGATCTTGACACAGCCCCATTGTTGTCCCAGAAGCACATGGATCTCAAAGCTGCCTGGACACTGAGCTGGCAAATGTCAGCTGTTTGCTGCACTGCTTAACTGTTTGGCATTGAAACAAAACCTTAACGGACTGGAGAGCTGGGTCCAAGTGAACACAACGAATTTCAGCACGGACAAATGTAAGGTTCTGCACTTAGGCACGAAGAACCAGATGCATAAATATAGGATGGGAGACACTTGCAGTAAATGTGAAAAGGATTCTAGGGGTCTTGGTGGACCACAAGTTTAACATGAGCCAGCAGTGTGATGCAGCAGCAAAAAAGGCTAATGCTTATTCTAGGCTGCATCAGCAGAAATATAGTGTCCATTTCAAGTACAAGAAGAGCTGTGGAACATGTGGAACAGTCTCCCTCAGAAGGCAGTAGATTTTCCTTCCTTGGAGGTTTTTAAGCAGAGGTGGGATGGCCATTTGCCATGGATGCTTTAGCTGAGATTCCTGCATTGCAGGGGGTTGGTCTAGATGACCCAGGGGTCCCTTCCAACTCTACGATTCTATGAGAAGAAAAAAGTCTCTGGGTACTTTCATGATAAGCTTTCAGCGACATGGCTCACAAACACTTTCCCCTTTTTACAGAAGTGCACACATGTATCTGCCAATAGAGGACAACACTTCATGCACCTCCATTTATTTGTGGCACAATAGCACCTGCTAGTCTGTTAGGAATCAGAAAACTCTTCCCACCCACTGCTCCGGACTACAGCAACTGCCCCTCTGAATCAGGTTTTTTTTTGAGGGACTGGCTGTGCCCTAGTGCCTTCGAGAGGAGTTTGACACACCAAAATGAAGTGGGTGAAGCTTATACCAGGAAGTGTTTCACTCGGCAAAATTCCTGCAGATCAGGCACAGGAGTGGTGCCAGAAAAGAACAAATGGCTAATCCTAGTCCAGAGCCTAAACAGAAGGGTTGCAGTGTAGTAAAAAAATAATAATTACTTGACTGTGTCCTAACCACCCCTTATGTGTCAAGACTGACAAAGGATTCTGGAGAATTCAAAAGACTACATACAACTTTGCGATGTTTTGCTTAGCCTAATAAAGGTTAATATGGTTTCTGGATTTTCCTTATGGGATAACATGGCTGCCATTTTATTTTTTTTAAAGGTCTCCATATGCTTCCTCAGTGGGCCAGGAGCCTGACGTGACAATCCTGAGACAAGATTTCAACACCAGAAAATATGGGTAGGCAAACTAAGGCCCGGGGGCCAGATCCGGCCCAATAGCCTTCTAAATCCGGCCTGCGGACGGTCCAGGAATCAGCGTGTTTTTACATGAGTAGAATGTGTCCTTTTATTTAAAATGCATCTCTGGGGTATTTGTGGGGCATAGGAATTTGTTCATTTCCCCCCCTTCAAAATATAGTCCAGCCCCCCACAAACTCTGAGGGACAGTGGACTGGCCCCCTGCTAGAAAAGTTTGCTGACCCCTGCCATAAGAGCCCTGCCATGAAATTGAAACAGGGCATTTTGACACAGTGGCTCAGCAAGTTAGTCCTCCTTGGTCTGTCAGTTGATTCTTCTCCCTGGCTTGTCAGTTAATTCTTTTCCTGATACTGACCTGGTGGGACGCATGGCTGCAAGTAGCTGCAAGCAGCCCAGGAAGCATGCAATCGACTCAGTTCTGGGAACACTTTGAAACGGCCTGACAAGGATTTCTTGGAACAAAGTATGCCTTGGGATCCTCCCTGGGCAGAACTCCATACCAGCCAAGATAATGTTATTTCCCATGTTCCTTTTTGTGTGTACTTTTAAGCCACTGGTTTGCAATCAATTTTACTTTTAAAATACCAAAATGTGCCTTGCGATTTCCCTCGCCACCTGCCCGTATCAGATTGCAAATACCCTAATCCTATTTGGGTTCCTTTCATAAGAGAGTTTTAAAGCGTTCTTGTGGCAGAACAGTCTTGACACCAGCACATTGGCAGGTTTCTGAGCTTTCGGATTAGCAAAATGGATGGGGTGCAGCGCATGGGGTTAGCAAAATCTTGGTGGCACCTTGCGCTTATCCCTTGGCGGGCCCACAGAGCCACAAAGATGATCATGCCAAAATACAAGGCCCAGAAAGCTTCTCCATATGGCAGAAATTGGGAGCCGTAGACAGCAGACTGTCGACAATAGCCACAGTTGAACCAGAGGTATTCCAAGTGTCAGTCACTCTTACCTTTCTGCCGCCAGGTAGAGATAGCTGATACAGTGGTACCTTGTTTCCCGAACTTAATCTGTTCTGGGAGTCCGTTCGACTCCCGAAACCGTTCGAAAACCAAGGCGCAGCTTCTGATTGGCTGCAGGAGCTTCCTGCACTCAAGCAGAAACTGTGTCGGACGTTCGACTTCCGAAAAACATTCGCAAACCAGAACACTTACTTCCGGGTTTGCGGCGTTCGGGAGCTGATTTGTTCAACAACTAAGCTGTTTGGGAAACAAGGCACCACTGTACTGGGAGGCTGGCTGCTCACTGCTGTACTTTTATTTTATTTTCCACGGAACTGAATGGCAAGAAATATAACAGGGGACCCCACTGGGGTAGGAGACTAACCTGTCCCCAACAACCAGCAATATCTAGGGCAGATATTATTCCACATCTGAGATACAGCTCTTTTTCTTTCTCCCCCGAACTAAAAAGGTTCCGAATCTCTGGAATTCAAAAGGTTCCAAGTTGCGCAGGGCTGCAATTGGTGACCTCGTTCAGATGGGGGAAAGATGATCTCCTTCGTTCCTGAGACAGCATTTACTCGGGTTGTTGGAGTGGAAGGCAAAGTTGGCCCTACTCCAGTGGAATCAAGTGCGACCCTATACTTCTGGTCCATAAATGTGAATGACTGCCTGCTTGCCGGTCACACACTTGGGAAGGAGAACGAGATGCAGAACACAGACTCTGAAAACTTATTAAATCTGCTCCCCGCAACCCAGCCACAGCAAATTTGCTAGCAAAGTTATGTTACTTTGAAGGCTCTTCAATACATATTTGGCAGCAAAGCCCCAAGCCCTTAGCAGAATTGCTGGAAAGTTTTTACAGTTATTGTTTCTCTGAATTCTTGGGATTGATAAACGTGACCGAGAAAGACAAAAAAAGTTGTTGTTTTTTAAATTCTCACAAGTGTCATATCACTGCCCACCATTAACTCTCAAGGTGTTGCTGGCCAGCAATCTGAGAAAACACACCTTACCGTTTTCGATGATGAAACTAGTCTGGATAACAAGACGGCTTGCTGACTCCTGGGTAATGTCTTGCAGCCCCTTCATCACAAGGATTAGAAACAGGGGAGACGTAAGGCAGACACAGTTTCACGTTGCCAGGAGGGCAATATTGCTCTGGCTTATAAGAGAGAGGGAAGTGCTAAAATGCACCAGCAGGAGGCTGGTGTGAGGCTAAAAAATGAAAAGAGGTGATGCGAGTCATGGGGTGGGGAGAGAATAAAGACATGAACTACCCCAGGGGGGGGATGTGGGTGGCGCTGTGGGTTAAACCACAGTGCCTAGGGCTTGTCGATCAGAAGGTCGGCGGTTCGAATCCCCACGACGGGGTGAACTCCCGTTGCTCGGTCCCTGCTCCTGCCAACCTAGCAGTTCGAAAGCATGTCAAAGTGCAAGTAGATAAATAGGTACCGCTCCAGCGGGAAGGTAAACGGCGTTTCCATGCGCTGCTCTGATTCGCCGGAAGCGGCTTAGTCATGCTGGCCACATGACCCGGAAGCTGTACACCGGCTCCCTCGGCCAGTAAAGCGAGATGAGCGCTGCAACCCCAGAGTCATTTGCGACTGGACCTAATGGTCAGGGGTCCCTTTACCTTTACCTTACCCCAGGGGAACAACACACGCATACAGAGACACAAGCACACAGGACTAGTCTTGTAAATAGTGTGGTTTAATTTTGCCTAAAGTCCTCAATGCCTTATCCTGCTGTGGATAGCCCAGTCTGCATGACCTCCTGCCCTGCTGGAGGGAGACTACTAGGTTTTTGATCCCAACTTTGTGGCTCACAGCTGCAAGCGGCAGGGTCCGTGGTGTGCCCTGGGGAGGCCAAACCCAAAGAGCCCACACCTGCTTCGTGTCAGCTGCACGCCGCCAACGCTCTGGTCCTCTACAAATCTATTCAGAGCATCTTCAGAACACCACAACCCCTCAAAAGGGACAGAAGCAGCAGAGGGGAAGGAACCCGGAGTCGGGCGCCGAGCCGCCAAGACAACACGTTGCCGTTTTGGCCTTTGACGCAAGGAAACCAGAGCACAGAGAAGCCCTTCAACCCAAAAAACACTTTTGCCCAGTCAGACCGGAAAGCCAGAGGAGAAGGTTGGTTAGAAGAACTTGACGCCCCGCCCGTCATCCAGGGTGATGATTTCAGCCTTGTGTTCCTGTTGCAGAGCTTGCAGAGCACGGAGAAGCATGGATTCTTCCAAGCCATGGAACTCTAGGAGAGGAGGAAACAGCCTCGGTTGAGGGATCTGGCAACCACACATAAAAGCTTCCACAAGATAAGCAGCAATCGCTACATCTGGTGGTAGAGAGTTCCACAGTGTAACCATGCACTGGTTCGAGAAATACTTCCTTCTGTCTGTCACTGGATGAACCTGGCTCCTAGTATTATGAGAAACAAAGGTTTTCCTCTTTTTATCCACACTGTGCATAATGCAGCCTCACTCGCCTTTTTCCCCCCTAAACTAGAAAAACCCAAAGGTTGTAGATTTTCCTCCTACAGGAGTTGCTCCAACCACTTGATCATTTGGGTTGCCCGTTTCTACACTACAATGCAAAATTCCGCCAGGTGCAAGCAAAGCTACCTTCATTCTCTGTGTCATCGCCATTGGACAGCTCATACAAGGTGAAAACTGAGTTGGTCAACCCATTCTTTGACACCTGGGAACAGAAGAGGGAGGGGGGAAAGAGAATGTTAAAACTCTGACCCGCATTTATCAGTTTTCCAGTCTCAGATTAATAAGTCAATAAAAATGAAGAAAAATGTTAAACACAGCTTTTTGTAAAAGGAAAAAAAATCAGTAGTAGAGCACCAAAGCACAGCAACAAAAATAACAGGAGAAGAGAAAAAACAAACACACACAGTTTGAGCAATGCATCAGAAGGCCTTCGACATTGGGCACTGAAAATACTTTAGAATAGACGCCAGGCAAGCCTCCTTGAGGAGAACATTTGAGTTGCGGGATGCCTGCATTGAGAAGGCCTCTCTCCAAACACCATTTGCGCAACCTTCAGAGACAGGCAGGTTCACGCAAGAGATGACATGTTTTTAGTTCCCAAAGCGTGCGTGGCTTCAAAGATAAAAACAGCAGCATTTTAAAAACTGTGCTCAGAAACAGACCAGCGGCCCATGAAGAAATGAGATATTATTATTGGAAAACAAAAATCAAAACCAAACAGATGCCGTGGTTAATTTGCTTCTCAAAGACCGCATCTCTGGAAGCCTTTTTCTTACTTTTCAAGCTCTGCAAAGCTGTTCATCAAGACTCAATGCAGGCGATCTGCTTGGGCTGGTGGGCATTTTGTGCTTCCATGACTGCACTGCACAAGCACAGAATTTGCGTATCAGGCAAGGAAAAAAATGTCCCTAGAATCTCAGTTTTCACTGGGAAAAATAACAGCAACTTTCTAGCCCTTAACACTGTGGGGGGTGGGCAGAATGCCTGGTGAAACTTCAGAGTGTAGGAAGGGAGGAAGGAGCGGATTCAAGCATACAGTACCTCCATGACCTTAACCAATGGCTTTCAGGAGCACCATTAACCAATATGGGTTACACATTCCAGAACCTGCTCTTACCCACTGATAGATGAGCTTGCCCCATTCTTCCGGACGCCGCCACATGATCAGAAAGCTAGATTTGTTTTTGTCAAGCCATTCAAGATTCCCTGGAATGAAGCAGAGCACTCACATAATATCAGGGCCCACTTGTACCTAAGACAACAGACACTGAATCTCTCCTGTGTCCAGTTCTGGGCACCACAGTTCAAGAAGGACACTGACAAACTGGAACATGTCCAGAGGAGGGCAACCAAAATGGTCAAAGGCCTGGAAACGATGCCTTATGAGGAACGGCTAAGGGAGCTGGGCATGTTTAGCCTGGAGAAGAGGAGGTTAAGGGGTGATATGATAGCCATGTTCAAATATATGAAAGGATGTCACATAGAGGAGAGAGAAAGGTTGTTTTCTGCTGCTCCAGAGAAGCGGACACGGAGCAATGGATCCAAACTACAAGAAAGAAGATTCCACCTAAACATTAGGAAGAACTTCCTGACAGTAAGAGCTGTTCGACAGTGGAATTTCCTGCCAAGGAGTGTGGTGGAGTCTCCTTCTTTGGAGGTCTGTAAGCAGAGGCTTGACAACCATATGTCAGGAGTGCTCTGATGGTGTTTCCTGCTTGGCAGGGGGTTGGACTCGATGGCCCTTGTGGTCTCTTCCAACTCTATGATTCTATGATTATGATTCTAAGAAGTCGATTACTTCTTAGATGAGTCTGTGCAAAAAAACATTAATGCTGTGATTTTAGTCACACTTACTTGGAAGTGAATCTCACTGAAATTGATGAGAATTGCTGCCAAATAAACATGTTTGGGATTAGGGATTTACATGACCCTCAAGTTTCATGATCTTCTTTCTACCCATATAACCATTTTGCACAGCATTATACACAGTGGAAGTTTCCCCCCATCCTGCCACCAAACAGAGAAAGATCCCACCAGAAATTTCAGCTTGAAGCGTATCTTTAAAAGTTAAACACCACAGACTTTCTGATTTCAGGAAATTTCTATCTTGGGGGGGGGGGGGGGAAGCATTTTTTGTTCATTTCAGAATATTGACTTAAAATGTCTCCTGATGATTGTATACCCATTTTTATATTCAGCTGAAAAGCTCACACATCTCAAGATTTCAGAAGCAGGCTAATCTGGAGTTCTCAAAACTTCTGTTACCATTTCAAAATCACATCATTGTATCCCTGTTATCAGTGATGGCTGGTTGCTTTCTTTATCCCCAATTGGGATAAAGAAGGAAGTTCAAACTGTCTTATGGGCAGAGAAGTTTCATTTCCTGACCCACCTTTACTTGTGTAAGGAAGATGTTTTTGTTTTCCATGCCAGCTGTTAGACCCTGCCTGGCATTTTAAAATGAGAACTGGATAAAACAGTAAATGCAAAGTTAACTCAAAATCAACACAAACCAGAACCCACCTTTTTTCCTGAGTTCTTCTAACACCACAATGATGGATTCCAATGGGAGCTTTCCTGTTTCACAGTTAAGGAAACAGTCACTTGGCACAGGATAGGAAAAGGGTATACAGAAGTCGAGAAAATAATACAAAGTAGGACAAACTCAACTTAGGACAACTAAAGGAACCTGAAAGGTCTTGGTCTCAGAATTCAGGGCTTTTTTACTCAGAGCAGATCCAATGAAATTAATGAACCACAGTTAGTCATGTTTATTAAATTCAATGACTGTGCTTGGAGCAAAAAGTGAAGCATTCTAGTTTCTCAAGGAGATGTCTCTTCTCTTTGCTGCAGTAACGCAGCAGATATGGTAACTTGCCCATCAAACCAAGCATGCAACCAACCCAACTCAGAATTTGGTCACTGAACTGGAAGGGGTTATAATGACATTAACTCAACCCTTTGCTTGAAGGGCAGGACCATCCACCAACC